TTTTAACTGGGATGCGCGCGGGGACGGGCCCCAAGACCGCGCATCACCTTCGCTGGTGCCTTGGGGGCGGGGCCCGTGAACGCCCGCGCGCCCCCGAGGCTCCTGTCGCGTGGCGCATCGTGCGCGCGCGCGACCCGCGCAGTGACGCGGCACCGCACGGCGGCACGGCGCAACGCGCCCGCGCCGAGCGCCGCCGCACAGCGCCTTGCGCCGCACGTTTGCACGGGCTTTGCCGAGCAGGCGCACCACCGGCCTTACCCGAGAGGGCGGCGAGCGACGGATGGGGCCTGGGGACCCGGAGCTGGGGGGCGGGAGGGGGCCCAGGTCGCCAACCCCCGATCGCCCTCCCACAGGGAGGCGCGCCCCACCCGCCTCCGCCAGTCCTGAGGCCTACCCCGCCGATGCAGGCGGCGCCGACGGCCCCACCAGCTCCACCAGCGCGGGGTGCCCCGGCGCGGGGTCCCCGGCTATCCCCGAGTCGTTGGCGGGGCCCCTCCTATCCAAGCAGGGGGGGTCTCGTCCGCATCTCCCTCCTCCTCCTCCTCTTCCTCCTCCTCCGCATTTTCCTCGTCCTCCTCCTCCTCCTCCTGCTCTTCCTGCTCCTCCTGCTTGTCATGCTGCTGCTCCTGCTCCTGTTCCTGGTCCTCCTCCTCCTCCTCCTCCTCCTCCTCCTCTTCCTCCTACTCCTGTTCCTGCTCCTGCTCCTCCTCCACCTCCTCCTCCTGGTCTGCCTCCTGCTCCTGCTTCTGCTCCTATTCCTCCTCTTCGTCGGACTCCTCCGCCTCCGCCTCCTCCTCCTCCTCCTTCTCCTCCTCCTTCTCCTCCACCTCGTCCGCGTCCTCGTCCTCCTCCGCACCCTACTTTTCCTCCCTCCTCTTCTTCCTTCTCTTCCTCCTCCTCCTCCTCCTCCTCCTCCTCCTCCTCCTCCTCCTCCCCTTCCTCCTCCTCCTCCTCTCCTCCTCCTCCTCCTCCTCCTATCCTCCCTCCTCCTCCTCCCTCCTCCCTCCTCCTCCTCCTCTCTCCTCCTCCTCCTCCTCCTCCTCCTCCTCCTTCTCCTTCCTCCTCCTCCTCCTCCTCCTCCTCTCCTCCTCCTCCCCTTCTCCTCCTCCTCCTCCTTTTCCTTCCTCCTCCCTCCTCCCTCCTCCCCTCCTCCTCCTCCCTCCTCCTCCTCCTCCTCCCCTCCTCCCCTCGTCCTCCTTCCTCCTTCTCCTCCTCCTCCACCGCCTCATGCTCCTCCTGCTCCTCCTGCTCATCATTCTCCACCTCCTCCTCCTCCTCCTCCTCCTCCTCCTCCTCCTCCTCCTTCTCTCTCCATTCTGCTCTCTCCTCCCTCCTCTCTCCTCTCTCCTCTCTCCTTGTTCCTCTCTCTGCTCTCCGCTCTCCTCTATCCTCTCTCCTCCCATCGCTTCTCTAGCCTCTTTCATCTCTCCTCTCTCCTCTCTCCTATCTCCTCTCTCCTCTCTCCTCTCTCCTCTTTCGTCCTCCTCCTCCTCCTCCTCCTCCTCCTCTTCCTGTCTCATCTCTCATCCCCCTCTTTCTGTCGCATGTGTCCTGTCTCCTGTCTCCTGCCCATTCTCTCCTGTCTCTGGTCTCCTGTCTCGTCTCTCATGCCTCTTCTCTCCTCCTCCGCGCTCCTCATCCTCCTCTCCTCTCTCCTCATCAAATATTCTTCCTCGCTCCTCCTCCTCCTGAATGGCGTTGCCCAGAAGCTGATAATTCGACGTTGAATGACACAATTTTTTTCTGGATTTTAGCAAATCGTCGGATAAGGTGTTGTGGTCCACCGCCGAACGTCATTTTTGCGGTGAAGGTTTGTACCAAGATATGGACGCATACTCCCTCCACCATCTCATGAGGCAGCTCGAGCAGGTCCCCAAGGGACGAAGGCTCTCGGAGCTTCTTGCCTGAGTTGTAGCGGGAGGTTCGTGGCAGAGGTCTCAGGTCTCAGGAGGCGGCTCCAGTGTGCCCCAGATGCAAGAAGGATTTGTCTCAATTTCATCGTGCCTGGGAATGCGATCAGAATACCGATCACCCTGTCTACACCAAGACGGACGATTTGTATATGATGGCAGCGACGCAGCATGAGTCTGAGCCAGCCTGCTGGCTCGGAGGTGCCATGCCCGCCTCGTGGACCAGAGTACCAGAGCCGCCCGATCAGGAGTCGTGGTTCCAGACAGGCCTCAATGTGGAAGTTGCAGACGGAATCCTAAGGCCTGACGGGGACGACAAGCCTGTACTATCGCTTGACGACGCCAGTGGCGTCCAGCTACAGGTGTCTGTCTTCGGTGCGTTCCCTGGTGTGGTTCAGACGGTACCAAGGGGTGAACTGTACAATTTTGGTGCGCTTTGAGGATTGCGACGCAATATCTCACATATGTGGCGGAATATATATATATATATATATATATATATATATATACACACACACACACCTTTTTCTATATTTTTACAATCCGGGGGGGTGGGACCCCCCCCCCCCGGAAAATCGGACCCCTGGGATCTGGCGCTTTTGGGGCCCCCTGGACGCCTTGCAATGGGTCCCCCGGGCCTTCCAGGCCTCCTGGACGCCCCTGCCGGGCCTTGCCAGCGGGCCCAAAGCGGTCAGGAGGGCGGCCAAACGGCCCCGCGAGAGCCCCACGCGGCCCCAGACAGCCCCAAGACGCCCGAAGACGACCCAAAGAAGACCCCCAAGAGGTCCTCCAAGTGCAAAAAACAACATTTTCCTTTAGTTTTTTTTTTTTTTTTTTTTTGACATTCGGTTCTTCGGTATTCCGTGCGTCCGAGTCCGCCGAACAGGCCCCAAAAATCCTCCCACAACGGTGTCAAAGGGCTTCCAGACAGTCCAAAAGAGCTCCAATATGGTCCAACAAGGCTGCAAGATGGCCCCAAGAGAGCCCCGCTGACAGCCCCAGATGGCCCCAAGACGCCTCCCGAAGCACTCCAAATCGTGACCCGGTCGTTCAGGGAGACCGTGGTTGGTAGCAAGGTGGCCGCAAGAAGCCTCCAGAGGCCCCCAAAAGGCGCCCAGGAGGCCCCCAGAGGTCCCCAAAAAGCTTTTGAGAGGGGCCCAAGAACACCTCCAAAGAGGAGCCCCTGCAATAAAAACTGGGGATGAGGACAAGGAGTGGCTCGCAGACAAAGAAGATTACGAGTAAGAGGAGAGGCAGTATAAGGATAATACATAACATTACTTTACTATAACGACGATGGCGCAAACGGCAACAATGAATCATCGCTATATTTGGTTATCCTGCATGCCGAGCTTTAAGAACCAAGGTACATGGCGCGAAGCGCCAATGCAGTCTTGTACATATATATATATATATATATATATATATATATATATATATTCCTCGAGCTAGGCGCGGCCACCATTCACACAGACATGAGACGGACGATCCAGTTTTTCACGAGGACGCGTCCTTACTCAGGACGAAGTGCACTTGACAATATATAATGCTGAGCTTGCTTGGCAGCAGGGGAAAAGGACCCGGGCCCGGATCAAGATTCACCAAATCTGACTGCATAGCATTGGCCCCCAGGGAGGGTTAGGGAGGGAAGTCTTGAAACCAGAATGGCCGCGAGAGGGGAGAGAGCAGCAGCAGGAGAGCAGAGCAGGAGAAGAGACGGACAGAACAAGGCTGAGAACAGCCCGAAATTGACGGAGCCCCTCTCGCTTGGCCGCTCGACGCGGAGGAAAACTGCATCCAAGGATAAACATTCCTCGAGCTAGGCGCGGCCACCATTCACACAGACATGAGACGTACGATCCAGTTTTTCACGAGGACGCGTCCTTACTCAGGACGAAGTGCACTTGACAATATATAATGCTGAGCTTGCTTGGCAGCAGGGGAAAAGGACCCGGGCCCGGATCAAGATTCACCAAATCTGACTGCACAGCATTGGCTCCCACCCCCAATTCAGTTGTCATTGGGAGGGCGGGCTGGGAAGAGAAAAAAGAAAGATCACGTTGGCACACGATTGGAGCTGGCAACACGAGAAACGAGGTGCCGAAAGTCCGCCGCCGAAAAACAAGAGGCCCGTTGGCGGGCGGCGGTAGGCACGGCGGCTCGCTGTCTCAAGAGCGAGCCGTGCTTCTCATAGGTGCGCACGGACTCTCGTGCGCGCCACCTTCCTCGCTGTTGGATCTGATCAAGACTGCGCAACTGCTCTAAGGCGTCATGCGAGGGGCCGCCGTGTCGAAGCTGATGCGGCACGGAGAAGACGTGGCACAGACCTAGGTCGGAAGCCACACCTCGCACGAGCCTCTCGTATGTACTGAGGTTCAGGGGTGCGAACATCTTGGCGGAACCTGCACGGCCTCGGCGGAGGGCGGGCAGCGCTGCTGGCACTTGGCGTCGCAGAGGCACAGGTGTGCCAGCGACGACTGCGCGGTCAAATTCGTTTGGCTTGGACGGCGCGCCGCCCGTGAGAGACGATGGCGATCGAGACCTGGCCGCCGGCGCTGCCGTGCACGCCCCCATGCGGCGATGGGCACCTCGCTGGGCCGCAGGCACAAGTCGAACTGGACTATCATGGCCACGGCGGCGAGGGCCCCCAGCGAGGAGCGCTCAGCGAGGGCTCCCACGCAGGCGATCACCGCGTCGAGGGGGGCGGGCATCCCGGGGCGCCGAGGCGTCTTGGCCAACCAGCCCGCAAGCGCATCCTTTGAACGCGCGAAGTGAGGCTTGGCCACGGCCCATCCTCTGAAACGAGCAAGTCCATAAGGAGCATTCCGCGCCATATATTGAGGAGATCCTGAGGAGAAAAGATGTTCAATGTACAAGTTCATTGACGAGTCGGCATCCTTTGGGTTGTCAAAGGGCAGACGCTGACGCCGAGCCCAAGCCTCGAAGTCGGCGACGGCCTGCTGGTACTTGGTCAGGGTCGCAGGACGCAGCGAGGCCATACGCAGGAAGTCGCCAGGAGGCGCTCGGCGGGCTTGCCGTTGCTGATCGGCCCGAGTCACCGCTGCCGCCGCCCGCCTCCCGCGCTCTGCCGCCAGCGCCCGGCGGCCTTGCGCCTGGCCCCCGCCTGGGGGCGGGGCAGCGTCCCGAGGTCCGCCGGCCGCCCGAGGGGCGGGGGCGCGGGTCGAGCGCGGAGGCCCAAGCGGCTCGCCAAGAGAGCCGGAACCTCCGCGGGCAGAGCGGGACGCCGGGGGCGCGGAGGCGGACCTCGCCCGCTGTGGCTGCCAGGACGCCATCCCAAGTCGCGAGGTCTCTGGGCGTGGCTCGGCCATAGGCGGACCTCGGGGCGGAGAGCGAGGCGATGCGCACGAATTCTCGGCACCACTCTGGGAGATGCGCGCCGGCCAGGGTAGTTCGCCAGACCCACACTCTCGTCGGATGGCGAACTTTGCCCTGAAGGACTAGGCGATGTGGTCGGCAACGCGGGCGCTGGCGGCCCAGCAGCTCCAGGCCCGGCAGCGTGCCGGCGACAGCTCCTGGTTTCTTGAAGGGGGCCCCGAAGCGGCAAGAGTCGTAGACGACCTTGCCCGGCTTGTGGTGCCGGAGCTCCTTCTCCAGGGGCGCCCAGCGCCAGACCCGGCTGGGGCCTGGGTTCTCCAAGAGCACGAAGATGTTCAGCTTCCGGCAGATCTTGAGCACCCGCGCGGCGAAGCTGACGAGAGCGGGGTCTGCCGGGCGTGGCGGCCGGTTGCCCCCAGCCGGCACGCAGTGTGTACACGGAAGGCCAATGTATGCACCAGAAGCGGCGCTGTGCAATCCAAGCCAAGACAGCGTTACGGACGCCAGGGTGAGTGAGGTCATGATGCTTCCCATTTGCGATGTCCAGAGGGCAAGCGACGCGGAACCCGGCCCGGCCTCGTGGAAGGCCCCCGATAAGTTTGCACCTCCAGCGAACAGATCCAGGAAACTGGCACGGCCTGACTGTCGGCCCCGCGGGGCCTGAGACGAAGACCCTGAGGAGCACCATTGACGAGGCCCTGCGCGTGCCCGAGGGCGGGCCGAAGAGCTTGATGACCCAGCCTGGGGACCTTGACTCGTCGATGACGCGGACGACCTGACCCGTGAAGCCCAAGAAGCCGACGAAGCTGAGGGCCCAGCCTGGGGGACTGACAAGCCGATGCACTTGGAGACCCAATCTGAGGCCAGTGACCTGCCGAAGAGCTTGACGACCCGATCTGTGAACGATAACCTGTACGTGATCTCGATGATGTGGAGCATGGCGGAGGAGGGGAAGAACAGGATGGGAGAACAGACTCAGCAGGGGTGGTAGAGAGGATGATCCCTTGTGCGAGGTCCTCGCTGCACTGCCCCGTGCACTCGATAGGTTTCTCTCCGAGCCCTGGAGGCCTGGAGACGCGGCTCGGCGACGGCCGAGTCGCGAAGGCAACGCTGGTGATGAGGGGCTCGGGCTCCGCAGGCCCGAGACAGGGCGGGCCGCCGCTGGCTCCCACGACAGGAGACCACCTGCCGGGCGCCGGCGGGCAAGCAACGTTCACGCATCCTGGAACGTGACGCACCCGCCACGTGATCTCGGCACCCAGCTGCAGGGCGCCGGCCCGACGACATTGTGCGAGAAGCTCCCGATTGCTGGCGCGGCCCTTCTCGAACGACAGGACGCTGGACAAATTGTCCGAGAGGCTCAGCAGCTCGGCCCCGTGGCAATTGACCTGGCGCGCGGCTGCGCCTAGCCCGATCGCAGAGGCGCGGGCCTCCAAGCTGTGGATGCGGCCGGGATGCCGCCACGCGCCTCGGAAGGCCTCGGCCCACCGCTGCGGGTCGACCAGCTCGGGAGCCAGCTCGGGCGCGGGGCGGCCCACCTCCATCTCCTGGCGCCGGCGGCGAGCACGCGCCTGCCTGCGGGGACGTCCCGCATCGGCGACGCCGAGGTCGTCGCAGCAGAGGTCGGAGACGTCGGCCAGCCCCGCGGCACGGCCGAGGTAGACGTCCTTATCGGGGTCGCCAGCGACATCGACCTCGCTGAAGCGCTGCCTCTCGCGCCAGCGCGAAGCGTCGAGGACCTCGTGCCCGAAGAGCTCCGCCTCGCAGACGGCGCACCCAGCATCGAGCTGTCCGTGGTGAAGAACACCGGCGCCGGGGGTCGGCGCAGGTCCACCTGGCCGAGGAACACGAGCCCGGCAGCGCAGCGGAGCTCCGTCAAGACGCTGGACGGCAGGCGGGAGACGCCCTCCATAGGCCCCGACTCGAGATAGGCATAGGACTCCCCCAGCACACTGAGGGCGGGCCGCATGATGCTGAAGTAGTGCACGATGTGTCTGAGCAGCCTCCTGACCTGCCAGCGGGCGAGCCTTGGCCTGCGTAGTACTACCTTGTGCGGGCCAAGGTACAGGCGCCACGCCCGCCGTGACGTGTGGCGAAGACGACCATGTCGGCCGTCGAACTCGAGACCGAGGATGCCCTGCGACGAGGTGGCATGCTGCAACTCGTGCCAGCGGAGCCCCCTCTTGTCTAGCTCGTCCGCGACGGCGCCGAGGCGCCGGTCGAGCTCGCCGGCGCCCAGGGAAATGAGGTTCGCGTTGTCGACATAGGGCGCGTGAGCAACCCCCCCGTTCAGCAGGGAAGGCGGCTTGCCCTTGTCCAGGCACCAGGAGTCCTTGTCGCCGAAGACGGTGCCCATGGTGTCGATCAGGACCTCTTGGCAAGTCCACAGAGCCCATGACCACCCCATAGGAAGGGCCTCAAAGCAGGGCCAGACACGGGTGTCGGGACTGATGTCGACGTAGCGGCCGAGCTCCTCGCCATAGAGCTGCGTCACCCCGAGCTCGCCAGCGTCCATCTCGATGTCGAAGCACATCCAGGAGCCCCAGGCCGGCTGGCGGAACTGGTAGAAACGTCCTGCAGCAGGTCCACCGAGCCGGCCACCAGGTCGCCCCCGGTCGTCACGATGTCGAGGTCGTCCGGGCTGAGGTCGGTGGCGTCCACGAGGTTGATCGCCGCGAGCGCCTCACCCGAGGCGAGCACGGTCTTGGGCGGGAGGCGCTGCAGCTGGTTGGCCTGCCGGGCATCCAGCGCCATCCTCTGGTCGCCGTTCTTCTTGCGAACAAAGGAGGCGGAGATGCACGACTTCCGACGGGCCCGAGCTCCGACGAGCCCTCGGCCAGCCAGCGCACGAAGAAAGGCCGCCAGCGCCGGGCGCGTGCCGCGCCGGCGTGGGTCGAGCTGCGGGTCCCAATGCGGCTGCACCAGCGGCTCGTCCTCTGGCAGCTCGGAGAGCGGGCGGACGACGGTCGCGTCGAAGTTGTCGAGCACGTCCTTGACGCTCTGGGGGGCCACGTCGTCGAGCGGCGTGAGAAGTGTTCCTTGCGCAGGATGTCGAGGCGGCTCGAGTCAAAATCGACCACAGTCGTGGAAACGTCGAGGCCGCCATAGACGTCCCTGGTCTCGATTGAGGAGCTTCTGGAGGGCTCCAGCCCCATCCAAGTCGGCGGGCCGCTCACCAAAGGCCGCGATCCGACGGCGGATGCGCCTCCGCGCCGACTCCTGAGCGATGTCGGCGCTCCCTGTCCTCTGAGGGGCCGAAGCACGACCTCCCTCCCAGCGCAAGCGGCAGCCATCCCATTGAGGGTCGTGATCGTCTCGATGGCGCGAGCCGAGCGACGATCAGCGGCGGCCGCACGCTGCGCCTTATACCGAGGCAAAGCGGTACGCTCCCCTCGCGGCGGATGTGAGTAGAAGGCCTCCGTGACCGGAAGCGGGAACAAAGGTGGGGGCCCCCGCGAGGAGGAACCCTCGACGGGGAGGCAGCCGCGATCCAGGGTGGTGGCCATGGCGTCACGGTGTGGTGGCGGCTGCGGCAGGCGGCGCCGCGGCCGCCAGGGGCGCCGGGCCGCCTGGCTTGCTATCCAGCGCCAGCCGGCCCAGCCCCGGCCTTGCCTTTCGGCTTGGCCTTGGGGCGGGGGGGCCTGGCTTCGCCCCTCTGCTCGTTGCGGTACTTCTTGTTCTCGTGGTCGGCCTCCTCCCGGTGCATCCTCTCCTGCTTGAGGACGGTGCTCCTCGCCTTCTGCTGGTCCGCGACCCACGCGTCGAACTTGGTCGCGACGGCGCCGCCCGAGTCGTCGAGGCGGCTCGAGACCATCAGCTCCAAGCCCTCGAAGGAAGGATGGCGGGGGCAGCGCTTGACCGCCCTCTGGATTTGGAGGGCCCGCCGACCCAGGAGCTCGAACGAGGCGAGGTTCGAGACATCCAGCGCGTCGAAGACCAGCGCGTGATGCAGAACCTCCACGATGTTCTTCAGCTCCTGGGCCACGGCGCTGCCGCGCGAGACCCCCGACTGGGCCACCCAGAAGCCCCAGTGCGACGAGACCGAGTGCCCAGGCGAGACCACTGCGGCCAAGCACTCGACGAGAGCCTTGGGCCCCTCGAGCGGCCAGTCCTCCACGTCCACGCTCTTCAGGAGGGCCGCCAGCTGCGCCAGTGAGACGGTATGCGCAGACACGCCCGTCTGCGGCAGCACGCGGCGGCCCCTGCCTGGGCCAGCCCTCTTCTCCGCCTTCCAGTCCGGCTCGTCGCTGAGCTGCACGCTCTCGGCGGCGACCCAGCCCTCGGCGTCGGACAGCATCACGAGAGCCACCGCGTCGCGGCTGATGAACCGCTCGGCCGAGGTGATCAGCTCCAGGCTCAGCTCCTCCCCGAAGTGGTCGCTCGCCGGGTCCGCGACGATCCACCGAGGGACCTCGACCCCAGGCTGCACGGCGGGGAGGGGGAAGCCCAGCACCTTCGCGAAGTTGCGCCCGTCGCGCCGCAGGTTGGCCAGGTCGGCGTCCGAGAGAGCTCCGAACGCGTAGACCTGGCCTCGAACCCTCGGCGGGAACACGGCCGCCCGTGCCAGGGCGACCACTCGATACTCGTCCAGCTTCAGCAGGTAGATCTCGGCATCGGGGGTCGCGGCCACCCAGCGGAGTGGGCGAGGGGACCAGTAAAACTCGGTGATGCCATCGGAAGTTCGGGTCGCCGTCGAACGCGATGCAGACCTGGCTCTCCGCGATGTCCAGCGTCTCGGGCTGCGCCCGAGCCAT